AAAATAAGTCTAAACTATCGTGCAGCAACAGGTAGAGAGAGGAGAGCAGGGAGAGGAGCAGGAGGAGGCGTCTGTGAGTGTTGAAAGAAAAAAAAAAGCACTTCAAAAAGAAAAAAGCTACAAATGAGCAAAAATGCTCAAAAAAATTATAAACCAAAGTTATGAAGAGAGTTCCACACAACTGAAGCCATTGCTGCTCAGTTTGCTTTTTGTCAGAGCTCTATAACAACTACTTTTACTTATATATCAGCTGACTCCTACCAAGAGTCAGGGATTAATGATTGATGATCAATAAAATCATCTTAGCCTACAATTGTCTACCAACGCTCTAAACATACGCAAAGAGGTTACAAAATTATATGGTCTATAAGAATTACGTAATGTTTGTTTGCTGTCAAAGGTCTTCATACAGAGCACAGACTGTATATAAAATGGATGCAGTCTGCCTCCTCGCTGGGTGAAGCCACCACGAGAACAGCACCCTCTGGTGGCGGGCTGCAGTATAGGTCATAAATTTCACTTCCTCCAGCAATCCCTATGGAGTTGTGGACAAACTTTAGAAATTAATTACACAGAATATAAATTTTTCTCCCCCCTGCTTGCGATGTTGATATGTAGATACTGTAAGACTGGTTTGTGCTCAAGTCCTCTTTTTTCTATGCAGCTACATTTTTAAAAGTTATTCGGGGGCTCAACTTTTCGATAATTGACACTTGGTTTGCAAAGTTTGCATAGCTCACATGGGGGATATGCTGTTTGAGCAAAGAGCCATCACAGTGACTCTTGACGACTCTCCCTCCGAATGCTACTGCGCAAGTATCTGATTGTGTACAACACTTCTGGCAATGTCGGTTTCAGGGAGTGGAGAAAATCCCAGAAATACCGAGAGCAACTTGGCTTCAAATTTGTATAATGATGGAAGGTGGAGCCAATCTTTTCATAGTATCTATGTAGTAGTCTATAAAACAGAGTGATAACATGCTATGCTAATTGTGCTAACATAAACTTTCTAGCTAGCTGGTGTATTCGTACAGCATGTACGCATGTGCACTCTACACTCTGTTTGCAAGCAACTGTTGATAATTCAATTTATCACACTGAAAGAATTGTGCACGTCTTAGTTGTGGACCTGTTGTCATGTTTTATTGCTGACAATGCTCAGAACAATTAAGGGCTACTTTCTGACTTTCTAACTGAAACACAGGGTGAGTTACATTAGTCCTGAGCTCTCTGGTGAGCCCCTAGAAATTTCCCCCAGTCAGATGAGTCGTGACAGCCTTAGAAAATGTGCATTAGGACACAATGTTTAAATTCCGGGTATATCTGTTCCATCTGTTTGCTCCTGTTTCTCAGTCCATCTGATTTTATGGAGTTGAGTCTCTGCTCTTTCAGATATTAGCTTTAAAATTCAAGAATAGAGTAGCAACTGCTAAAAATGGCCACAAGTTGGCTAAAAGAGTGAAAAACCTGGATTATAAAGTTTTAAAACTTAACATTACGGCCAATCCTGGGATGATGAATGAATGTAAACATTCAGTTTGATTTCCTCCTCTTCAGGCACAGAGATCAGTTGCCATTCAGCTTCCCGCAGAGAGTAAAAATGAACTTTTAGTTGCTGCAGACTGATAATCCATCAACGAGATAGTTGATGAAAGCAATGCTTTCTGGCAACCCGCTGTCAAATCATGGATGTCGGGATGTCCTAGACTGCACCAGCAGGGACAGTGAACTGTAACTTTGTTCACTGTGATGGATTACTTTCTGAAGCCTGCCTCAAGTTTCTGCATGTTGATTTCCATATCGCACTGAAATGAACTGAAACCAATGTCTGCCTGGAAGGAAGGAAATCAATCATAGAAATTTGTGCTCAGCTTTGAAGAATGGCCAGCAGTAATGTACTTGACATAATTTGTAGTTAATTGGCTCAAACATGCAAAACCACCATCATGGTTATTTAAGCTTTAAGAGTCTTTTCCTGTGGGCAGAGGAGTCCATGACACCTCAGCGAGTCGGGGTGAGATCCCCCGGCCTGATACACTGAAGTATCACAGGTATTTTAGATAGACCAGACCCTTTTAAACTTCTTTGGGTTCACTGTGAACAAACACCTTGGATCACAAAGTCATTTCTCCTCAGAAAGAATAACATGACTTTTTACACCTGTCTGCTCATCACACACTGAGATAGAGTGTTGGGCGAGTAGAGGTTAAGTAAACAAAGCAACAAATCTGAAAAATGAGAACTTACTTTAGTTTCACAGATTTTTGCTTTAAAGAACTTATAAAGACATTCAAACATGCACATTTGCTTGCAGCTAAAGTTGCTTTTATTTCAGCCTGCTGTGTCTTCCTCTAACAAGCAAAACCCACAGGGTCCGGAACGGCTTCACTCTGGCACGGCCGGCGGATCAAACCCACAAGCCTCATAATCAATGTGAGTCATTCCACAGAATCTGTCCGGTGTCCGGCTCCGCTGCGGATCAGCTCTGGCGACCGGATCAGATACCCAAGGCTTCTACTTTTGCCGGACGCTGAAGCATGGCGAACTAATTCATTGCAATGCAGCACAAGCAGCAGCGGAAGTTATATGCAGTTACAGGATAAAACATCCGGTCAATTTTCAAAATAAAATAAAGTCAATACATAGAACTGTTATTAACTTGATAATGGCAGAGCCGGGGTTGTCGGATGTGGATGTTAACATACACCGCTGTTTCTATACACTGATCGGCGGACCTTATTCTATGACTCCTGGGGAAACACACGAGAGCTCATGAGATCTCGTCCAGTCTCGCGAGAAATATCAGTATTCTTGCAAGCACTTCTCCGATGGCGGCGGCAGATCGGATCCAGTGGATGCTGTATGCTTGCAGATCTGATCCGCCTGCCGTTCCGGAGCGGAGCCGTTCCAGATCCTGTGGGTTTAGCCAGTCAAGCAGGTATCATGCAAGTATTGTCTCTTATTCTAGGTCTATATTTCGTCATGCCAGCATCATGTTCAACAACACAATGAAGGAGGCTATCTGATGTTTCTTTGCATTATGTTTAAACCACTGAGTAAAGAAAGCATTTCATTTGTGTGTCACTTAAATACTCCAGTGTTAAGAGTAAAAACGCATGTGTTTTAGTTTTCACATCAGTCCTCCACAAAGTGTTGTGATATGGTAGAGGCATAAAAGACTGGTTAGCTATAAATTTGATATTTTGGAAAAATAAACTGACTTGTTAAAAGTCTGAAGGGTAGAAAATGTGTGTGTCTTTGAGGGCCGTACTTCTTAAGTGAAATGTTTTAGACACTGAACATCACTTCCTATGAGGACAGATGCGTGGGTTTTAGTCAGAAGTAACAGCAAAATGAAAACATATCTTGGCGAGTCCTAAGTTGCTGCAGTTTAACTTTTTTTTTTTTTTTTTAATATATATTTGGCATCATATTAGCTCAAAAACTGACAAACCATCAGTTGTGTACATATTCTAACTTTTGGGAAAATTAGGCCTGCGAACAAGTCTTCAGCTGTGGTTGCTGTGCGTTTATTCATACAGCACATGTAAGGACGTACTGGTCATACTAAACAAGCTGGAAACACAACATACAGGCGGCTAAGGAGAGCGAGACAGAGTGCAGAGCAGTGAAGCTCCACTAAACGTGGGTCATCCACCCACTCACTTGCTGTGACCTGCCTGGACATTCACCTGCTGGGTCTGCTCACCAGGACATCACACAGACTAAAGGTTCACCTGGTTCAAGTTGGTTTAACGTGTTCAGGTCAACGGATCAGGACTTTTGTAAAGCATAGTGAACCCACCTGAAATGAAATGTGCTTTTGCTACAGGTGAGCTACTGCTATTGTTGATATTCTCTGTAACATGTGGATATTCCCATGCTTGTGTTGCATGAAGGAAAGAGGCCAAAAGACACAGAATGGCTCCTTTTGGTGTCTGTTTAGGACAGCCTTCTCTTCTCTTGATTTTAAGTCTGTTAAAGCATGGCCAACTCGGCCCTATTCAAAGCTGAATAAAGTCTCGCACAATCCCAAAGCTCCTCTCTCTTTCCTTTTTTTTTTTTCTTTTTTTAAATCTTGAGTCCAAGTCTTTCATTGCATCATGAAAACCCTCAACATGTGCAGAGTGTCCTGTGGGAGCAGCCTCCACACCGCTCCTGGACCGCTGTCACAGTGTGATTTATTGAAATATTTCCTTGACCAAATTAACAAACAGGCCAGGTCATGTTCCCGATCTGCAGCTGCCTGTAAATGACTAACACACTGGGGGCATCCATGCACAGCAGCACCCTGACACAACTCTTATGGATATTAATATTTTATTTTCTTGTCACTGTATATTTATTTACCAATGTTCCGGCTCACTCTCCCGGCAGTATTAAGACAATCCATCCTGTCAGATTTGCCCTGTTAAACAGGGACTGGGTGTGGGGGAGGGGCGGAGGATACAGCAGGAGAGTGTTTTGAGAAGGTAATGAGAGTGTTGTGAGAATGTTATTAGGGGCTGTAAGAGGCCCACTGAGGCGTAAGGGCAATGCCACACTTTGAAAACCACTTAGACAGACGCCACTCGTGACCTGGAAGTAAAAGCGATCTGTGATCCATCTCATCCAGGCCTCTGTGGACTCTCATCTCCTCTGCTCTCCATCTTTATCTTCCTGCCTCTGTCCTGTTCTGTGTCCAACCCTGACTGTGTTAAGTATTCACAGCAGGTAAGTGGGCGTGTCGGTGACGTCATAAGGGAGACAAAATCATACTTTATTCATCTCTGAGGGGAAAAACAGTTTTTCCACTTTGTCACTGAACATGCTACACACAGACACACACACCTCTGCACAAGCAGGATCTTACACTTGAAGACTGATGTCGGAGTGAGAGCACCGCACATGATTGAGAGCACTCAAATTGTTCAAAAGCAGTGCTGAGGAAGGAAACTGGCATCTCTCCAGATACCAGTCTCACTTTGGTGCACGCAAAGCTTTGGCCTGGAAGCTAAATAGTGCTGACAGTGCATTTATTGTTCAACGTACATTATGTTAGACACTTGCAAATGCCTTTTGTTGCAACTGGGAGACAAGCTAAAAGGGGGCGCAGGGACAAGCTTCTGTCAGTATTTGATTCTCACCAGGTGCTTGTAGACTTGTAAACCACCCAACAGAGCTGTGACCATAGTGTGACTTAAAGGTGGGGTAGGTAGGATCTGAATGAACAACAGTTTTTTGGGGAAATCTTGAAAGTAAACACTAACCCTCCCCTAACGGTTTTCCCCGCAGCTCCTCCTCTCCCTTCCCTCTCTGCACAAGCGAGGCCCGCCCACAAAACAGATGCTTGTGCACGCTCACATCACTCCTGTTTACTGGCAATTTATCAACTATCTAAAGCGTTGAAGCATGTCTGATTCTGAGGTAAGAAGACTTTAAATCACAGCCCGCATCTGATCTAAAATTTCTTAAATTGCGCATGGTCCCCCGTCGTGCAAAGGCTATGCCGTTGTTTACTCAGGCCCTATTTCTTGCCTGGCCTCTCTTCTTCTTGAGCGCCTGTTTTTCGGCTACAGTCCTCAGTATTTTGCTCTTTTTCTTTAGAGTGTGGGCAGTCATGGCCAAAAAATGGAAACAGCTTTTTCTCCAGCTGCTTTCCACCGTCCAGTGTTGAACTACAAGATTGTTTTGGGTCCACTTGTTCACGCAATTTTTAGCCACGTAGCTGGCCTCTCAACCAATCAGCACAAGGGAGCAGGGTCCACCTCACAACCAATCAGGTCAGGGAGGTGGAGAACGGCTTTGTTTACAGTCAGAATGAGCATGACGCTCAAACATCTTAAAATGTTGACTAGACAGACATCAGAGAACACAGCAATATCATGATATTCTCAAATATCAATAACTAATAGTTATTGACTGATATTAAAAGCTTTTTTTGTATATAAATCACAAAAAATATTCTTCTTTCACAGATTCCTGCCTACCCCACCCTTAACTGTGCATGTAAACCTTGTGAGTGTAATGGAGCAGAATGCATCCTGGTCAGAGCGCAGCCACAGCTATTTGGAGTGAATGAACTCAAAGAAAACACTGTTGAGGTCAGCTCTGCACAGCATCTAGATCTCTGGTGTCTTTTACACACCAACACAAAGCTCTACCATCAGAATCAACAAGATACCCAATCCCACCTCAAAGGTCAATCATTTATTAAGGCAGAAACCCAAATATTCATATGCCTCAACATGTTACAGATCAAAGGAACCAAAACCCAGTCTTTGCGTACCCTCAGATTCAGACGTTAAACCTTTATCATCTGCATATAATAATAACCCAGATAATAACAACTGTTTTTTTATTTTGTGTCTTGGTTTGTTAATCTGCAGCCACAATTGTTAGGACTGTTACTGATCCAACGTTAATGCTTGTCCTCTTGTCAGCTGCTAGAGGTAGGTCACAAAGGGAAGGGGTTTGCAGGCATCACATCTGCGATGTGTCTGATTTCTGGTCGCCTTGCTTCTGTGCACATAAATAAAGCTTTAAATTGCAGCAGGTTGAGGGTGGTGGGCTTTTAAAGGGTCTAAAGGGCTGTCACAATATTAAATCTTCATCTCACAATTATTTTGGCCATAATAATGATATCATCAGGGTACTTGTGTAAAACTTTACTGATATAAGAAGTTTCCTTGCATGTCATCATCCATTCCTGCTGTTAAATGTATGTTTCCACAACACCAGCCCTTAGAGAAAAAACTGGCTTCATGAATGATTGAAATGCTTTTATTTTGAAATTTTCTCTGTCATGACCTTTATTACCTGCCTGGTCAAGCTGTACATCTAATTCACTGTAACTTACATAAAATTGAAATCAAGCAATTGGGAAGTACAATTATTGACCTCTTTTAATTTGAACACGATTGACAGATTAACTGTTATCAAAGTGAACATCCTTGTTGATAGATTATTAATTTAATTCTCTTTAGAAACCTGGGTGTAATGTGCTCCAGAGGACCAGAGGAGCAGTGAGGAAGAAATGACTGAAGTCAGCATCTCATCCCATTAATGGTTAATAGAGTTAATTTTTTTTGATTAACTGCCCCCACCTTTGGTATTGAAGGTCTCGAGTGAGTCTTTACACACTTCAGCTCTGTGACAGTACAACCTCAACTGGAAAACTTCCAGAGAGGAGGTAGGAGGGAGAGCAGAGGAGAGTGAAACAGAGGTAGACAGAAAAAGACTTTTAATGGGGTCCTTCAAATTGAAAAGAATTCGCCCCTGGACGTGGGAATCCAATTCCCTCCAATCCAATGGGATTGGCATTGAGCAGGGTAAATAAGGATGGATTGTTTGTCCGTTAGCTGGCTGTGCCGTGAATTCGCCTTTCAAATGTAAAGTGACAGATCCCCCCCCACACACACCAATACACACACACAAACACGTCCACACACTCTTTAAGTCAGCTTCTCTCTTTCACCTTCCTCTCTTGCTTTCCACAGTTTCTGTCTCTATCACACAAAACCAAGACAACTACTCCTAATGAGGAAGCTAAAGTCACCTACACACATTCACGACTACCCACCCACAACTCACTTCACACAAACACACACTCAGCAACACACACACACACACTGGGACTACATCCAACAAGCATGTGCTGTGTGGCAAAAAGCTCATCTTTGTTTCTTCACACAAGGAGGGAAAACATTGGGTGAGAAAGTGAGTAACTTTGCCGCCATGATGCAACGTGGTGTAACCTCCTGGCCATTTCTCAGAGCAGGGAGAAAGTAAAGGGCTATTTCAACAATGATAATGATGATGAGGAGTGGGCACAATAAAAAGAGACAGATCACAAGACAGGGAGGAGAGCTGAGAGACGAGGACAAGAAAAGGTTACCATCCGGGGGCAGGGAACAGAAAGTGAGTGCTATTAAAGATATACGCAGCTGCAAAAGCTTGAAGGATATCAACAAGCACACTCGTACAGGTAGAAATGTGGCATTAATGATCTGTGACTTTAAATCAATATCAGCAGGTGGCAGCTGGTTGCATGCAGTTATGCTTTTCTATGTCTTCTCCTCAAATTACATTCAAGGCAGAAACTAATGTCTGTACATTAAGCCTGAAGCCAAGCTCTGCATCCAAGCATATATCCACACAGAAGAAAGCATCCCAGTGTTACAACCTTGTCTCTATACACAGAGACAAGAATGTTCTCAAAGAATAAATGACAGCACATGATTCAGAGAAATGTGCTTCAAAAATGCATCGGTTCAAGGTTTTCCCGCGCCTGCAAAAAGTGATAGCAACGGAGAGGATCAGGCAGCTAAGAAACAGTCTGTTAAAGCTGCAGTGTTTTAAGGGCTAAATAAAGCTAATTAAAGTACATCCAATAAATGTGCTTGATTACGCCACCAATGGACTCTGATTGTCTTGAAACATTGCAAGTTCAATGTCAAAAGTATGAAAAAAAGTCACCTGTGCTCCAGGATAGCGGGGGTGTCTATTCAGAATGCAAAAGCCATGCTCACAAGCTGCTCTCAGGTGTCAATCATCTCTACAGCATGTCAGCTCTAAATGCAAAGTGCATCTGTACTGAATGTGATACAAGAAAGCCCACGCCAAAGGAGGGTAGTATGAAACTGTATTTGAGGCGCTGCATAAACGCTATGAGGCTAATTTCCATCCTAAAACAGCTCTACAACTCATCAAGTGTGAGAGTTAAAGGGCTAGTTAGCAGCACAGCAGTCAGTTTTCACCAGGCCGAACACTATGGATGTAATGATAGTGACATACACTCACCGGCCACTTTATTAGGTACATCTGTCCAACTGCTCGTTAACACTTAATTTCTAATCAGCCAATCACATGGCGGCAACTTAGTGCATTTAGGCATGTAGACATGGTCAAGACAATCTCCTGCAGTTCAATCCGAGCATCAGTATGGGGAAGAAAGGTGATTTGAGTGACTTTGAACGTGGCATGGTTGTTGGTGCCAGAAAGGCTGGTCTGAGTATTTCAGAAACTGCTGATCTACTGGGATTTTCACGCACAACCATCTCTAGGGTTTACAGAGAATGGTCCGAAAAAGAAAAAATATCCAGTGAGCAGCAGTTCTGTGGGCGGAAATGCCTTGTTGATGCCAGAGGTCAGAGGAGAATGGCCAGACTGGTTCGAGCTGATAGAAAGGCAACAGTGACTCAAATAACCACCCGTTACAACCAAGGTAGGCAGAAGAGCATCTCTGAACGCACAGTACGTCGAACTTTGAGGCAGATGGGCTACAGCAGCAGAAGACCACACCGGGTGCCACTCCTTTCAGCGAAGAACAGGAAACTGAGGCTACAATTTGCACAAGCTCATCGAAATTGGACAATAGAAGATTGGAAAAACGTTTCCTGGTCTGATGAGTCTCGATTTCTGCTGCGACATTCGGATGGTAGGGTCAGAATTTGGCGTCAACAACATGAAAGCATGGATCCATCCTGCCTTGTATCAACGGTTCAGGCTGGTGGTGGTGGTGTCATGGTGTGGGGAATATTTTCTTGGCACTCTTTGGGCCCCTTGGTACCAATTGAGCATCGTTGCAACGCCACAGCCTACCTGAGTATTGTTGCTGACCATGTCCATCCCTTTATGACCACAATGTACCCAACTTCTGATGGCTACTTTCAGCAGGATAATGCGCCATGTCATAAAGCTGGAATCATCTCAGACTGGTTTCTTGAACATGACAATGAGTTCACTGTACTCAAATGGCCTCCACAGTCACCAGATCTCAATCCAATAGAGCATCCTTGGGATGTGGTGGAACGGGAGATTCGCATCATGGATGTGCAGCCGACAAATCTGCGGCAACTGTGTGATGCCATCATGTCAATATGGACCAAGCTCTCTGAGGAATGCTTCCAGCACCTTGTTGAATCTATGCCACGAAGAATTGAGGCAGTTCTGAAGGCAAAAGGGGGTCCAACCCGTTACTAGCATGGTGTACCTAATAAAGTGGCCGGTGAGTGTATAGTGTCAGTCACAGAGCAGAAAAAGTTGTGAAAGAGGAGTTTGTAGGGTGTTTGACCAGTGTCCCAGGTCCACTTTAAGTCTGGATGATTAATTCTGGCCGTGACTATATATGCAGAATGATAACTCTGTTTGTGTCTGTGTGCACAAATGTGTGTTTGAAATGCTGAAAGTGGACCAGCTGATCCCAGTAAAGTGGTGACTGTAAAACTGGATTTTGGTTCAAAAAGGCTGGAAATCCCTGACTTGACATATGTTTATGAGATCCTACTGTGTTATAAACTGAATTGTGTCCTTTATCTTTTATCTATTGCAGTGATAACACACTGTAAACTCAAGCAAAGATACCTTAGCTGAGTCATGCTATTTTGCACCTTATGGAATATCATAGTTACATCAATTATGTATCATCCTACCAGAGACTGTATATACTGTGGACAACTTAGTTCCGCCCTCGAATTTGAAGCCGAACTGTTCTCGGTATTTCCGGGATTTTCTCCACTTCATGGAACCACCACTTGTGGTGGTATAGGTTTAAAAATTCCAAGGATGACTCAAGAGACAAGTCAAGAGCATCATGTACTTCATAAGGTCTTGAAGTGGTGCCTACGAATTGAGCATACAGGTGTAGCTAGTCAGGCTAATACTAGCAGGAAAGAGCAGAATAATAAGCTAGTTGCACTCTGTTTTGGAGGATAGGAAATTTGTGTCTAATGGATTTGTTGGACGACAAAAAATTCAGTGTTTTAGAAATAGGAGCAACTGCGATTGTCAGAAGTCAGCAATTAATTGCAATTTTGAAGCTGTTGTCACTTTTGTATACCTTTTGCTTTCAGAAAACGTGACAAAGAGAGATGCAGTGCTCAGAAATTAGGGCCCTACGATCACCTCATGCTCAACTCACCAACACATAACATATTTAGGTGCTCAGGAGAGTCCCAAGATTGACTGAGCGGCTAACAGGATGAGAGCTGTGGGTGATGGCTGCCTGATGATCCATGATAGCACAGAGCGAGAGTGAGAGAGCAACACTGACAAAGACGCAAAGAGAGACATAGAGGATGAGACAGGACGCCACGTCTCGGCAGCTACCATCGATTGGCCTCTCCCACAAGACACAAAGATGTCACGTCTAGTTACATGCTCTCTCTCCCTCTGTTTCTCTCTCTCTCTACCTTTATCACCTTATACCTCCCTCAACTCGATCAAGAACTCCAACTTCTTCCCTCTAAAGTAATGAAGCTACAAAACTTAAATGAAAGACCACAACCAGGTTGCTTTGAGTTTATGAAAATAGTCAGCAAATATGAGATGATGTCAAAGTCAATTGGCTTCTCTTGAACCCAATATTATTGTTTAAACTATATATAAGAAAGAACTTTACAGGAGTGATTGAGTTAATTATTGAGTCTGATAAGAGCCTCAACAGATCAATAAAATATTAAGAACTTTCAAGTTCACCTCGTCTATGAAATTGTCCTCACCGATTCAATCGAGTTAATCATGTTTGCAGATGACACCATCCTTACTTTGTAAGAGATGAGTCTGCTTTTGAAGCTGATAAACTATTTACTTGTTGTGAAGAGAATAGCCTGGAGCTCCTCATTCTCAAAATAACAGTTAAAACTTTGGATTTCATCTCACCTAGAAGCTTCCGCTTTCTCCTTGTAAGACTTTACAACAATCAATAAGGGGTCAGTCCTCTCCCTCGGCATAATCCTTAACCAAGACCACAAAGTCAAAACTTCTCTTCATGCAATATGTGGGTAGAAATCTTTGTTGGGGGAAAAATAAATGACTTCATTAAAATTGGGAGGTTGTTCACCCCAGTACAGCATGTACCAAAACATAAAAATTGTGGTAGACATACATTCCCCTTAAGGCCTCTGTACTTGCCCTTTATTTCAGTTGTTGATTGCAGCCTGTTACCCAGCCCTTCCTCCACCAACCTCCTAATCAGGTCAGGTAGTATAAGACACCTGGGCCTTACATTGTCTGTTCCTCTTGTCTTGTCTGTTGCTTGCTGTGTTTGGTTGGCGGCCCATGGGTCCTCACTAAATATTGACCTGTGATTGACCTACATTTGACTTGGTTCTGCTTTGCCACTTAAATGTATAGTTCTATATTCATTTTGCCCCCTTTTTTTGTTTTCTATTTTGGGTTTGCCTCTTTTTACTGACTGTTTGTAGTTTAATATTTCCTTTTTTCCCCCTCTGTGAAGATTGAGTTTTATTTGACTGTTTTGCTTTGTTCTCCCTCTGGTTTATTACTCTTGTTAGTTTAGTTATTAGTCTTCCTTACTTTTTCTTTGTACTACTTCAATGATATATTTTAAATGTTATGCCAGACCTCTCTAGACTTTAAATGGTGAAGAGCCATTTAAGTACACTAATAATATTGGGTGGTTTTCAGTCATCGAACCATTCTTCTGTCTTTTTCCAGCACAGTTCACCTTGAGGAGTGATTATTTTTGAAACATGTCTCTGCTTTCTCAGGTCGAACCTGTGTGCTTTTTTAGTTTTTCAAGAATTACAGTCAAAGTTTGTCTAGTACTTTCCGAGTTTCAAGTCCCTAGGTGGCACTGGCAGTCCAGCTCTTTCCAGTTTATTCTTTTCACCAATCCTTAGTCTCATAGTCAATATCTGTATCATAAAACTAAACTTAAATGTGGTGTTAAGGTATTTTCCAAACCTTTTTATGATCTATTGGCTGACAGACCAAAAAGTTAATGCATAACTTTGATCAAGGCTTCATGGCTGCCTCAAGAAAGCAAAGCAGAGCAGAGTATGTGTTTCCTACAGCAGCTGAAGAAGTCCAACCTGCCAAAGTCGGTGGTGGTTTGCTTCTACAGCACCATCAAGGAGTCCTTCCTCACCTCCTCCATCACCATCTGGTGCGCTGCTGCTCCTGCCAAGAACAGGCTGCTCTCCCCTCCGGCAGGAGGCTGTGCTCCAACAAGACCAAAATCTTACGCTGCAGGAAGTTTCTTCCCAACTACAGCTGGCCTCCTCAACAAGACTTGGAACCCAGAGCTACACTGATTCTCTAACCCCTCTATCTCCTGTAGAAATGGCACCTTATATTGGCAATATTATTATATGAATAACATATATAATGATGTTAGTACATTAATT